GACTGGATGGTTCGAGTAACAGTATAATTTTAGCACTTACAGATCCAACAGCGAGTGGTTCCCGTTACTCATCCAGTCTCAGAAAGCACTGGTTAAAGTGTTTGTGTATTTATTGATTTATTTTAAGTAATTGTGTTTTATGTATATTATGGTTTTATATTTTTACAAATGCTTTATATACTTATTTATATACATATATATATTTAGTGGTTTATACCTTGTGTTGTGGGGGGTGGGGGGGAGTTGTGTGTGTGTTTCTTGTCTTGTTTTTATGGACATGAAGTCTGCCAATAAAGATTGAATTGAATTGAATTTATTAGCAGCGTCCTCCTGAAATGCGCCAACAACATCGAGAGTAACATCCTCCTCTCCGCCCCTTAATGCTCTCTTGTCGCTATGGTAACGCATAAACATTTCTTTCAAAATAAGACGCACAACTACGACATGGGAAAGACCCAGGGAAACAGAGTTAATGATAAAAACCCTGAAAACAATCAATTTCACACCCGAGCCTCAACTCTCGCGGCCCGGTACCAAACCAGTCCGTGGGCCGGGGGTTGGGGACCGCTGTGTTAAGTTACACGTCACACATCCAAATATATGACTTATATTTGATATCGTTTTATATGCTATTATTAGGAGGAGCTGGCAGAAAGAAAGCTGGAGTCTGAAGTTTGTACATTTTTTACGAATCATGCAGTCAAAGTCAAATCAAAGTTTGCTAACCTTTCCACAAAATATCGTTTTTAAAAGTGCTTTTATTTCTCCTGAAAGTTACACTGTCACCACTTTGCTGTTGTGGGATTCAGAGATCTCAGTTTATTTCTGAATGCTGCAGCTCCCTCTTATTATGGCTCTTACTGAGTGGAGTGGGCAGCAGTCACTGCAGAGAACCAGCGATCATTAAAACATCCTCAGGTCTGGAGCAAAGATGAGAGAATGGACGAACACGCAGATTTCTCAAATTCTTAATAAGATGGAAGGCTGAATTACATAATGTCAGCTTGTATTAAAATACAAGGTACTATAATCCACATCAGCATTGCATAAATCATCATTCATCTTTTTGCTATTTAGATCTATGATCGTACCATCCATGCTTGATAAATGAATGATGTATAGCAGCTGACATTTTTAATATGTGCCACTTAATTAAGGCAAACTGGATTCAGCGCGATGCATCATCACCAGGCTGACCGCACACTCAACCTTTCCCACCTTCCTGTGAGTGCGCCAAATAGTGAGGCAGAGGCTTATGGTGACGTCTTCTCTCAGAGAGACGCTTACCCAGTTGTTCCTGAGTCGTCCCTTCTTCCAGAAAGGTGATTCTCTCCAGGACCGCCCAAAACATCACGCCCAGAGAGAATATGTCTGCCTGGGCCGTGTAGGTCAGCCCGCCCCACACCTCTGGAGCCATGTAGAAGTCCGAACCACAGGTGGAGGAGAAGTGCTGTCTGGTCAGGCCGCCATCCACGGAGCCCTCACTCATTTTGCTCAGACCAAAATCTGCCACCTCGGGGTTAAAGAAGAAAAAGAAAAACTAGCACGGCTTCGGTTAGCTTACAGCTTGGGCTTAGTCTCATCAATGTGCCACCAATAGTTTTAGAACAGGGGTAGGCAACTCCAGGCCTCGAGGGCCGGTGTCCTGCAGGTTTTAGATCTCACCCTGGGTTAACACACCTGAATCAAATGATTAGTTCATCACCGGGCCTCTGGGGAACTTCAGAAATGCTGAGGAGTCATTTAGCCCTTTAAACCAGCTGTGATGGATCATGGACACATGTAAAACCTGCAGGACACCTGCCCTCGAGGCCTGGAGTTGCCTACCCCTGGTTTTAGAAGGACAGTAAAAAGCACTGTCCTTTACTTCTAATACCTGGCTTAGAACAAAAAAGAAAAGGAAAGAAAAGCTGGCACACAAAGTTTTTTTTTTTCTACTAGCCAACTGGTAGAAAATTAACCAACCATTGGGAAGATGGGAAACATACATATGCTATGATCATTTATATCAGGGTCCCTAATCCCAGTCCACGAGGGCCGGTGTCCCTGCAGGTTTTAGATGTGTCCTTGATCCATCACAGCTGATTTAAATGGATAAATAACCGTCTTGAAGTTCTCCAGAGGCCTGGTAATGAACTAATCATGTGATTCAGGTGTGTTGACCCAGGGTGAGATCTAAAACCTGCAGGGACACCAGCCCTTGTGGACTGGGATTGGGGACCCCTGATTTATATTATATCGTGACACGCTACTCTAATCTGACTTTGTATTCTATACGGTGACACTTTTATTTGGTGCTTGATCGAACAATGTGTGGGATGAGTAAAAATATTTGTAACCACCAAAGAGATGTTGGCAGTCACAGTGGCCAAAGTTTCATCAAGACTCATCCACGCATCTAAGATGATTTACAAAGATACGTAAGGTCTGATCATTACAGAATGATGAGTCAATGTTGGTAGAGTGCTCTTTACATGTGAGGACATCACTTTTGGCTGGACATGCTTCATGACTTTCTGATGTTCTGTAGAGACGTAAGTGGCGGATCAACAAACAATGAAAGCAACCTGTAGCTGCATCTTAATTTAGTTTCATTTGTTCCAAAAATAAAGATAAAAACTCACCAGATAATCTGGCTTGTTTGGGTTTACATGGATTTACACGAACACTCGATCTGTGATTTGACTTTCAGTAGAATCTCACTTCCTGGCTGCACTGCTGTGCCATAAATATTTTCCCTCTGCTTTGTATATAATGTGTTCATTGCTTAGCTATAAAGAGATCAGTAGAGCAATTTTGTTTCCAATTGTTTTCTTCATATTTTACTTTGTTATGTTAATTGCGTCTCAAGCAGACTGCTGCTGTGAAAAGCAAACACCCCCTCAGAGAGCAGAACTATTAAGCACTAATGTGCCTTCAAATTTGAACAGTGTGACTTTTCAAACAAAGCTTGACGCCACTTGATCTGAGATAAACACCGTCACATCTGCCCACCTTGACGACGGGGCCTTTTGGTGTCACACACACCAGCACATTGTCAGGTTTCAGGTCCCGGTGGGTGATTCCCAGGCTATGTAGGAAGGCCACGGCGCTGCACAGCTGTTGCACCACGCTGTGGTTACGCTGAGCATCTGGGGGCCTGGAGAGCAGGTACTGATTCAAGTCTCCTCCATCACAGTACTCCATCACGAGCCACAGGGCCAAGCAGCGCAGCGGCGCAGTCTGCTCTTCCTCCCTCGGGGCCGGTCTCTTCCTGACTCTGCTCTGAGGCCTTTGAGGGGTTGTGGAATCAGATGCATTTGATTCATCATTGTTATGGAGATGAGCTCTGGCCTGCACAGTGTTAGTCCTGTCCTGCAGTCTGAAGCCAGAGTTTGTCCTCCTGGTGTTAGACTGAGGATTGGTCCTTTCCTGACTTTGCTTTGCTGTGACCACACTTCCTTTGAGCACACTCTCAACCAGACGCAGGGGCAGTTTTCCTGGTTTTAAGGTCTTCAGGCTCCTGGACCCCGTCTGCAGGAGGCAGCTGTGCAGTGCAATGACATTGACGTGGTTCCTGGCTGTGGTTCTCATGGCCCACAGCTCTTGCAAGTAGAGTTCAATACACTCTGGGTTGCTGCAGGGCAGCCGCTTAATAGCCACCTTCTGTCCAGTTTTGGCCATACGGCCCTCAAACACCACGCCGTAACTGCCTCGACCCACCTCCCTCTCTAAGGTGTAGAGCTCCTCCATCTCTCCCGGAAGCTGCTGTGTCTCCTGACAAACACAGATTAATGTTATACAATCACGTTCAAGTGGTCGCTAAAGTTAGCACACCGTAAACAGCGCTTTGATATAGTAAGCAAGCGTTACATTTATCCATATCGTAGCTTATGACAGGAGAAAATACTAACCTCAAGTTGACGTTCAGGTTCGTAACGAGTCAACATAATAAATCTTAAAATAAAGCTTAACTGAAGAACAATCAAGAACCGTATATTACAGACAATAACGCTTCCGACTGACCGTATGAAGGTGGTAACCGACGGCGCGTTTAACATGGCGCAGTCTGTGGTTTAAAAGGGCATCGAAACACGAAGCTCTTCCTACTTTGATTTCCGACTTACCCGGAACACTTCAGCTTCTTTTATGAGCGACGGAACGCTTTGAATCCTCCGTTTATTCGACTGGAGGCACTTTACACGAAACCATGTTCAACAAATACGAGTTTCTTTGTTGTTGTTTATGAAACACACAGGAAACGCAGACGAAAATGTCACAAACGTCCGTGTCTAAGTTTCGGAACATCCCGCTCTGCCTATACACGCATCGTCATTGGCTAAGAAACCTCAGTACCGCGTTGTGATTGGTTGAGCGCCAAGTCCGAGACGTGTAATGTGATTCGAATTGTCCGATCCCCGCCCACGTTGGAGTTCAGACAGGGAATTTGTTACGTCAAAAACGGACACCATTATTTTGGTAAATAATGAAAACGAAGGCCCAGATGGAGCTTTTATTTCAACAAACAACAAAAGAATCTGTCTGTGTAAACGCAGAAAAAATTCGGTTAGCAGTTACAAATAGCTCATTTAAATACGGTTCTGGTGTTCTTTGTGTTTGATCCAACAAAATCTGTAAACAGCAAACAAAGTCAGTGTGGGTATAACTGATCAGTATCAGTGTGGCAAAGTCGTATGCACAGAACTCACAAATGGACAAATGCACCATTTCAAAATGTTGTTGGGCATCGTTTAATGACTGAATCTCAATCTCTGAGAATGTCGAGAAGCTCGTCGGACGGTCTGCGGCTGCATTTCAGAAGCAACTTTAAAATAAATGAAATGCTGTTTTAGTCTGAAAATCGTTTCAGCCTCAAAGATTCACATGAACTCCAAAATCCCAAGTGTGACAGAGGTTATGTGACCGATTACAACATGGTCATCATCACGCAGGGTGTTGTCTAAAGCTTTATACAGGTATTTAAACAGCAATTGCTAACGTACACTAAACGTTTCCTGTGCAAAAGAATGACGTTCTGACAGCTGCTGCCCACAGAGTCACAGAATAAGAAAGATATCGATTTATTCTGAGTGAATAATAAATCCGATGTTATTAATGTCTATATGCTCTGAGTCTGATTAGTAAATGATTGAGTAGAGGTAAAATGAATTCCCTCTGAGCTTTCAGAGGAACTTCATGAGTGAAGAAATGAAGCCAGCAGTCAGCCAGCTGCTTCTGGTGCAACAGGAAGGAAGGAGTCAGACAAACCTCAAAGTTTACTGAAGAAAACCATTCAGCATTCCAGGTCAGGCTTACAGAGTCTGTTACCTTGGTAAGTGACTGGTAACTGACTGGAGCTCTTTCTGAACCAGAAAACCCAGAGTTTCCCTCCTTCCAAGATGAGCTAACTTCACTAAACCTGCTTCCTGGAATGAGGCCCTGCATATGTCCCAAAGGTTAAGCCCGGGTTTCCTGTAATACAATGGTGGTTTGTTTCTTATGGTAGTTCGTGCTGCGAGCCCAGCCCACCCTAGACCAGGTTATGCTATTGATTAGAAATCAGCAGTTATAAAGCACAACTGTATGACTTGTGGTATGTTTATATTATTTTAATATTATCAGAGCCTGACTTTTTCTCAGATGGTGATGATAAAATGGTGATTAAAAATCTACAAAGAATAGAAAGAAATGTGCAAATACGAGAGCAGCTTAATGCTGCTGAAAATCATTCATCCTGGGATTTATTACACAGAGCAGTAAAACAAATATTTTAATTTCTGCAAATTTTGTTATCGCTGAGTGTGCTCTCATGGCTTCTGTTTATGGTTGGACATTAGAGCCCTGAAACTTAAGTTCTTAAACCAGGGGTGTCAAACATAAGGCCTGGGGGCCAGAATGGGCCCAGCGAAGACTCCAATCTGGCCCATTCTACAGCCTTAGAAAATGTGAAGCAGATTTGGAAGTTTTAACTGTATTTTTACAAGTTGCTGTTGATAAAGACTGCCCACTCATTGCCATTCATACTACACCTATGAATTAAATAACAGATAAACAGTTAAATGACAGGAAAGTTGCTGTTTGTTTGCTATTAGTACATCTATAGTAAATTAACAAAAACTATAATTTTATACATTTATTATGTAGTTTTACTAGTCTATGGCCCACCAGTTTAACATTCCCTGAGCCAGGGGTCTGCAACCTTTAGCACCCAAAGAGCCATTTGGAGCCGGTTTCCACACAAAAGAAAACACTGGGATACTTTTTGACATCTAAAATGAAGATAACACTGTGTATATTGTTTTTAACCTTTATGCTTTGTGTGAACAACTAAGGTGTGTTGCTTATGAAATCCATGAAGTGCTACAGAGAAAATTACATTTTATTTATGTAATTAACACATTTTGATCTCTTAAAGAAATATAACAAAAGGAAAGACGCTGAACTAAAATGACCCAGCAAACAAAACCTGCTGTGAGCCGCCCCCCTCATATCGCCTTTGGGCTTTTGGAGCCTTGACCTGACTTTTAAAAAAAAAAAAGAAAAATAGATATTTGCAGAATTCTGCCTAAATATGTATTTTACCTGGTTAATGTGTGTGGCGGGGCGTAGTCTGCAGCGCCGCTGCAGGGGAGGCGGACGCACCTGAGCGGCACCCGCAATCACGCCTCGCCGCCTTAACGTCTGTGCGATCTATGCTGTTGTTGGTATGTGTCGGGCTGTGAGCTGCAAAGCTACAGCCGGCTGTGTGTGAAAAGTGGTCAATAAAGAGAAGCTGAAAAGCGTGTTCATGCAAACATCGTCGGGTCTGCTGTGATATGTTTACAATGGGACTTCTGCTCCTGAACCTCTGCGCACAGCGTCTGCAGGTCGGGGCTGTACGAAGTCACTTTATCTTTATAGGACTGTAAGCTGTCGTCTGTGAGGCGTGAGCGGTGTTTGTTTTTAACATAGTTCACGGTGGAGCTGCTGACATAATGTGGATCCGAACATCCATAATTGGCCTACCTGGGGTTGAAAGTCTCGATAAATGAGGCAGAGGTGCACCGGCTTCCGCGAGTGTGACGCTTATTTTGAGCGATGAAAAAAATAATAGAATATAATTTTATTTTTATATTTATTTAGGCCCTATCACAATAATCTTCCAATTTAGAAGTACAAGTTAAAAAAAAAGAACTAACATAATCAAATTACACTTCAGCTAAATACTTCTAAGTTATTTTCCCAAACCACGCAGAGCCGCACTATGAGGACTAAAGAGCCGCTTGTTGCCGACCCCTGCCCTGAGCTAAACGTTAAATGTTAGTCTTCCATAAGCTAATAAAAGAAACGTGGCAATTACTTTGTGTTTTGAAATGAATTTTACTGATTGAACAGGTACTCTTTGTGTTTAGTAGCAGTGTGAAGGAGACTTTGCAGCAGATTAGAGGATAACAGCATTTACGCATTTTCTGCATCACCAAATCAATACAAGCATATTCCTGTGACCATGTCATGTACCAGTTGTGCTTAATTCATTGGTTTTAGTAAGACAAATCTTAACAACTTGCACTTTTAAAACAAATTCCCCCAGCAGAGAATCTGCAACGCACTTACATAAATTACAGAATTCTGATTAAGCTAGCTGTGTTTAGGATCTCCAAGTTCCCATTGCGATGTCACCAGTTAAAACAAGAGTCACTTTTGTGAGACAGAAAACTGATTTTAAGCTTGAGTAAGTCGTTGCTTCTTTGTACACCGCAGGTGTCTCGCTTTGGGCTTAACTTCCTGTCTCATTTATTGTACTGATTAGTTTCAGCTGTGTTCCTTTGCCCTCCTGTTTCCAGTGTCTACTGTTTCGTAGGTTTCCATCACAATGACTGCGTTTTCCTAGATGTGCCATCCGGTACTTTGGCTCTCTCTGGGACTATTTTGGGTTTCTGCTGTTTTTCCCTTCTTTGTTTTGATACGTTGCCAGCTTGCATCTGCATTTACCATGACAGAAACCTTTCCCTTCTTAGTGCTTTTAATTGCTCAGAGAGAGAATGAAAAGTAAAGCCTGACCGGAAGTGTTTTGCACCTATTTGTTAGTCCTTGCTTTTCAGTACCGAAAGGCATTTTGTTAAAAAAATACAAACGTGATGGAAGTGCTGAGAATACATTACTAAAGAGAGGAATCTGAATAGTCTATTAGGACAGTTTTGTAATCAACCTATTTAATTTGCCCAAAAGTGCCCCAAAAGTACCAAACTTCCCTTTTTGCTGCAGTTCCATTTAATCACAAAAGAGCCTGTGAACAAAACACACACCTATACACTCTTGTAGAGTGAGTGGGTGCTACATCAGTATCGACTGTTTTTGGCGGAGGCATGGCAACTGTGGTGATGACAGATAACAGCAGGTGTGTGTGTGCATTTTGTTCTTTGGGGAGAATATAATAGGAAGCATAGTGATTCACTGCAATGAAGCACACAGTGAAAGAAAAGAGCAGCTCAGAAGTGCATGTGTATGCGATCCATAGCTTTTATCAGTGATGCCAATCATGAATACTCTTCATAACTTGAGCAAGTTGGAGTGAGTCACACTTCACTTCTGCCCTTTATTCTATTGTCATATGACTTGTTTTGTTACATAGCTGGATGAAGACACCGTACAGGGCATGCTGAATCCACACAAAGCATCATGAATTCAATTTCCCAGCACATTCAATAATGCCAGGCATCCCCAAAAAGGTACTAATGAGTCTAATAAGAATTATAGTTTTAATCACCTCTGCTTTCACTCTAATGGAATTTCTGTGGGGGCTTTGCTTGCTAATTAAGCAGTCCACCAACCAGAGGGGCAAGAGTAATTATTTCCTTGATTGAGGTCAAAACCCTTGAATTTAATCCCGAGGTCTATCCCGAGCTTCCCCACATGAAGAGTAAACATCGGTAAACATCTTCTCAGCTTCCCGTACTCAATTTCACAGCCGTCACTCTGACAAATAATGGTTTCCCTCCTCCGTAAGCCAGCCTTTCATTGAAAAGTCTGCCATCATCCTCATGTCTTTATTGCGTAAAGCAAATGTCTTTCTACTGGCACTGGGCTGATTGCATATAGTGGCCGTGAGGAAAGAACACTT